GCAGGTCCTAGCGCCGCCTGACGGTTCCCCTCCCCCGCAGCGTGGGCGTTTTCAAGAACGGCCGCGTGGAAATCATCGCGAACGACCAGGGTAACCGCATCACGCCGTCCTACGTGGCTTTCACGCCCGAGGGGGAGCGCTTGATCGGGGATGCCGCTAAGAACCAGCTTACATCCAACCCCGAGAACACCGTGTTTGATGCCAAGCGGCTCATCGGCCGCACCTGGAATGACCCTTCTGTGCAGCAGGACATCAAGTACCTGCCGTTCAAGGTACGCCCTGAATGCGGACGGGTGGAGGTGGGAGGGGGACCTGCGTGTCCGGACAGATGTTGTCTGCCTTCCTCCCCCCGAGAAAGGCCAGGGTACTGAATCATGGTGCTCCTTTGAGCAGCCCTGCAGTCCTCCGGAGAGGGTTGGGGTGCGGTGATGTGGCTGTGGCATATAGACCCCAGTTCTTTGTGTTAGCTAGCGTTCAGATGATGTTTGTTATAGAGGATTTGCTTAATCTTCAGAGAGAAAGGCTCAGACGAGGGAATAATTGATTCTGTGAACTGTTGGAACAGGACAGGATACATTGTTCTTTTCAGGTTATTGAAAAGAAAGCCAAGCCCCATATTCAAGTTGATGTTGGAGGTGGACAGACAAAAACGTTTGCTCCTGAAGAAATTTCTGCTATGGTCCTGACAAAGATGAAGGAAACGGCAGAGGCTTACTTGGGGAAGAAAGTAAGTTCATGAATGCTACTAAGACCTTAAAGCAGCACCTTTACAGCACTGAACGGGGATGGGCTGGATCTGCCATCCTGAACTCTGTTCAGTGCTGCTGGCTGCTTAGGTTGCCTGGTTGAATGGGCTCAGATGGTGTGGGGGGTCTTCATCTCTTTAGAGAACAACGGGCTACTTGTTATCAGCATTGCTGTGGTTATTTACAACAACATTTTATCTCCTGCTCCTCATTCAGGTTACCCATGCGGTTGTCACTGTGCCAGCCTACTTCAATGATGCTCAGCGTCAGGCTACAAAAGACGCTGGTACTATTGCTGGGTTGAACGTGATGAGAATTATTAATGAGCCGTAAGTAGCCCTAACTGTCTTGCTGGCTGGGGAGGGGGGTGGTGGTCCCGGTTTTCTAAATGAACTGTTCCCCCTACAGAACGGCTGCTGCCATTGCTTATGGATTGGACAAGAGGGAGGGTGAGAAGAACATCCTCGTGTTTGACCTGGGCGGTGGAACTTTTGATGTCTCCCTCCTCACAATTGACAATGGAGTCTTTGAAGTTGTGGCTACTAATGGTGACACTCACCTGGGTGGAGAAGACTTTGACCAGCGTGTTATGGAACACTTCATCAAACTCTACAAGAAGAAGACTGGAAAAGATGTCAGGAAGGATAACAGAGCTGTCCAGAAGTTAAGACGGGAAGTGGAGAAAGCAAAGCGAGCCTTGTCATCTCAGCACCAAGCTAGAATTGAAATAGAATCTTTCTTTGAAGGAGAGGATTTCTCTGAGACACTTACTCGAGCCAAGTTTGAGGAGCTGAACATGGTAAGTTTAGAAAGGTAAAGTTACATTGCCTCGGCTGGAGACTGGAGACCTGTCAGTGTGCTGTATTTCATGGAGTATAAATAACTTCCTGCTTGCACTGAGGAGCAGGCAGCTGCTCCTTGCCAGGGTAGCTGGGGCTGTGCATATGCTCACAGCAGCTGAGGTATCGTCAGGGCTGGTCACAAGCCACTTATGTTCCTCCTCTATAGTGGCTGTCCTTTGTACCCTATGGCAGTGTAACTGGGGAGACTGGGGGTGTGGGAACACAGGCTTACAGTCCTGTGGGGGTTTTTGTCTTCCCAGGACCTGTTCCGTTCCACTATGAAGCCTGTTCAGAAAGTCCTGGAAGATTCTGACCTGAAGAAGTCTGATATTGACGAGATTGTTCTTGTTGGTGGCTCTACTCGCATCCCCAAAATACAGCAACTTGTCAAAGAGTTCTTCAATGGGAAAGAACCTTCTCGTGGCATTAATCCAGACGAGGCTGTAGCCTACGGTGCGGCTGTCCAGGCTGGTGTTCTCTCGGGCGACCAAGATACAGGTAATGACACTGTGACTGTCCCTTCAGGAGCAGGGACTGAATAGTGGATGTTCGTTATTGACAAACACACACAGTAGAATGTAGTTCTTTTTAAGTCCTTAAGACGTTTGTGCCTCTGAGGCCTCAGGATCCTGTTGGCAGTGGTGGGATGTCGTGTTTCTTTCCAGCTGAAGTCATGTCACAGTCTTACCTTTGATCTCTTACAGGTGACTTGGTGTTGCTTGATGTCTGTCCTCTGACACTTGGCATTGAGACTGTCGGAGGCGTAATGACTAAACTGATCCCAAGAAACACAGTTGTTCCCACAAAGAAGTCTCAGATCTTCTCCACAGCTTCTGACAATCAGCCGACTGTGACAATCAAGGTCTATGAAGGTGAGTGTCGCCTGTGGTGGCTGGAATCTGTAGGACTGATATTTGCTACTGTCCTATCACAGAGGCTGTAGATATTCTCTAGATGCTTATGGATATCTCCTTTTGGGGAAGAGCTTGGTAACAGTGCCAGCTCCCTGAAGTCGCTCTGATCAGGCTGCGTCACCTGCATCAAAAGCTGTTACTAGAAATTTTTTCAAATGTCTATTTTTCTGTGGCTCTGTTCTGGAGTAAGATGATACCACAGGAGGTGTCTAGACAGCTGTCAGGTTAGAATTAAAACCTTACCTTACATGCATGTTGCTGGTGGCCTTGCAAAGTACAAACCAAAGCGAGGAAATAAACCATCTCTCTTTGTGTCTTACAGGTGAGCGTCCCCTCACCAAGGATAATCATCTTCTGGGAACTTTTGATCTCACTGGCATCCCTCCTGCCCCTCGTGGTGTCCCCCAGATTGAAGTAACCTTTGAAATAGATGTGAATGGAATCCTCCGGGTCACAGCCGAAGACAAGGGTACTGGGAACAAAAACAAGATCACCATTACAAATGATCAGAACCGTCTGACCCCAGAAGAGATTGAGAGGATGGTTAATGATGCTGAGAAGTTTGCTGAGGAAGACAAGAAGCTTAAGGAACGCATTGATGCCCGGAACGAGCTGGAAAGCTATGCCTATTCTCTGAAGAACCAGATTGGGGACAAAGAGAAGCTGGGCGGTAAGCTGTCATCTGAAGACAAAGAAACAATAGAGAAGGTGGTAGAGGAAAAGATTGAGTGGCTGGAAAGCCATCAGGATGCAGACATTGAAGACTTCAAAGCGAAAAAGAAGGAGCTGGAGGAAGTAGTTCAGCCAATTGTTAGCAAGCTCTACGGCAGTGCGGGCCCTCCCCCGGGTGAAGAGGAAGCGGCGGAGAAGGATGAGTTGTAGATACTGATGTCTCCGAATGTTGTGTGTGTATATATTGGACTCAGGAACACTTGTTTAAAATATTGAACTCTTAATTTGGAATGTAACTCTGAATCTTCACTCGTGAGTGGAGCTGGAACCGCTAGCCCGACGTGGCTGTATACTGCTTTTCGTTAGCAGCTGCTCGATGTCTGGGGAGGGAAGGGTAGCAGGGGAGTGTAAATGCAAAAGGGGTTTAGAAGTATTGGCAGTGGAAGCATCCTATTTAACAACCTGGTCATGTGAATTGGTGTAGAACTTTTCTACCTGCAGTGACCACAATAAATTTGTTATTTACACTGGACTCTGTTCTAGCTCGTGCTTTCAGTTACCCTGTTAGAGCAGCGCCTTCTAACCAGGATGTGGAAGTGCCCAACAAGCTGAGATGCAGATCAGCTGTACTCTGGTGTTGTGTCCAGCTGAGCCTTTCACGTGATCACGTGAGCTTTTCCCAGCCCTGCCCCAGGCTCTCACTCCTGCACTTCTGTGCCTTCAGGTTCCTGCTCAGCACCTGACCTCCCTGTTCAGTGCTAGTGCTCTGCTGGAGCAGCCTGTGGGGGGGACTGGGGGAGGCAAAGGGCTCCAGGGGTTTGGCATCTGTTGCCCTTGGCTGATGCCCCTCCTGAAGTGTGCCAGGGTGCTTAGAGCCCCGTACAGTTCCATAATGTAACAGATCCCCATCAGGAAGGGGGTAGTTCACCCCAATAATGGCTGGGGGTGGTCCTCTCCCTGCTTGTGCAGCTTCACTGCAGCCTGGAGAGGAAGGTGATGGCTGGGCTGCAGCAGAGCAATGACAGACTGCAGTGCAAAGCTTAACTATAACTAACACTTCCTCTAGTATTAAAAGCTAATTTTAGGAGCTTTAGACTCCCATGTGAGACAACTGGCCAGTTTTCTGAATGCAGAAAACTAGTCTATACCTAATAAATGTTCCTTAAAAAAAAAAAAAAGCTAATTGGAACTCATTCTTTCCATGTGGCTGTAATCCTTATCCGATCCATGGGATTAGATAAACTTGCACAGAAGGTGCTTTGGTGGTGCCTGCTCTGATACCTCTGTAAAACCACTTAGCACCTTTCCCTGGGCTCAGGGCTATTTTTTCTGGGTTTCATTCATTTTCAAAATAGTGAAAGCTAAAACTCAAATCTTCCCCCTAATAAGCCTTGTTTCCATGTAACAGGGTTAGCTTTGCGGACAGGAGTGTTGCAGTAGCTCCAGTGTGTGGGTTTCTTCTGGTGGAGAGCTGCCAGACAGCACAGACCCTTCCCTGCTCTCATATTCCAACAGCCTGGGGTCAGTGGCTGGAGCTGTTCTGAGTAAACGCCTGCAGACAAAGAGCCTGTACCTCGGGTGTGTCAGCACAGTGCCGTCCCTTTGAGGGTGAGGATTTCTTTATTGGAAAGAAGAACTAACCCAGCAGTACTATAAAAACCCCACAGTGTGGGGCTGTGGCCGTGCTATTTGATCAGGCTAACAGCGCAGTCCCTGTGTACCTTCCCCTGTGTGTCCATCCCACCAAACACAACCAGCAGATGCACGGCTGTGTCTTCAGCACACCCCTCCTCATCTCGGCTCTTCCGCAGAGGCTCAGCTGTGTCACCCGCTTGGTCCTCCCAGGTGACAGCTTCCCCATCCCCGCTCTCGCCAGCATGCCCAGGGATGACGCACGTGGCCTGGTCCAGTCTCCCAGCAGGCAGAGGGGAATCCAACTGTAGGAGCGTCCACTGCTGCCTCTGCAGTGCCAAGATACACATTCCTGTCTCTAAATGGAGCTTCACGGATGCAAAAGGCACGCTGGAGCAGTGACACCAGTAACGACACCAGTTTTCAGCACTGGAGAGTGTTTCAGCATTTCATCTGGCAGTGGCGCAGCTCCAGCGCAATGACACTGACTGCAGGGGGACAAAGCCCAGGAGCCCGGGGGGTAATTAACGCATTTCCCCACAGAGCAGCA